TGGCAAAGTGAGACCCTGTCTCAGCAACAACAAAAACCAATATATTTAATGTGCCTTCTTGTTTTTCTCTTCACTGTCCCCTTTCTTCTGTCACTCTTGAAGACCTGAGGCTGGAAAAAGAGATTGACATGTTTTGTTTTGTTTTTTTTTTTTTTAGAAAGTTTTGTTCCTGTACCTCATGTAGGAACTTGCATGAGAAGATTGTGCTAGGTAATTAATTAGATGTCTGCAGAGAATCTAGAGGCTCAAAATTTCTACATCTGTTAATAGAAATTTGATTTCCAAGTATGGTTTTTTATTTCTCCTCACTCCACTCCCCTGGTACAGCGTTATGAGTTGTGACAGATAAGAGCACCATCCATTGGTCATTCCACCCCTCTTCCCGACAGACAACTCAGTGAGACTGGGGCTTGACTTTACGGTGCATATGTAGCCTGGCTTCTCTGTAAGGGTGAAACATCTCCCCTTATGGTGCTCTGAGGCTTGACTTCTGGCATTCATTTAACATTGGATATTTATTGAACACTTACTGTTTACCAAGCATTCACAGTGCTGGGGATTTTGTGGTGAATGAGGCAGGCATAGTGTCTTATTTCACAGATTTTATGTTCTAGTTAAGGGGAGAGGCAGAGCAAACAAAGAAGCAAAATAAATTGGCTGGGCATGTTGGCTCATGCCTGTAATCCCAACACTTTGAGAGGCCAAGGCAGGAGGATTGCTTGAGCTCAAAAGTTACTTTTTTTTTTTTGGAGACAGAGTCTCACTCTGTCATCCAGGCTGGAGTGCAGTGGTGCCTTCCTGGCTCACTGCGACCTCTACTCGCTGGGTTTAAGTGATTCTCCTGCCTCAGTCTCCAGAGTAGCTGGAATTACAGGTACCTGCCACTACACCCAGCTAATTTTTGCATTTTTAGTAGAGACAGGGTTTCACCATGTTGGCCAGGCTGGTATCGAACTCCTGGCCTCAAGTGATCCCCCCACCTCGGCCTCCCAAAGTGCTAGGATTACAGGCATGAGCCACTGTGCCCAGCTGATTGGTTTTTATTGATTTGCAAGTCTGAATATGAATCTTCGTCAGCTATGTGCATTGCAGATCATCTAGTTTATAGTTTAATTTTAGACTTATTTACAGCATTTTATTTGCATAAAAATTTATTTTTATGCATTTCCTTTATGGTTTATGTTTTATTTAAGAAGTCCTTTCTGGCCGGGTGCAATGGCTCACTCCTGTTATCCCAGCACTTTGGGAGGCTGAGGGAGTCGGATCACAAGGTCAGGAGTTCAAGACCAGCTTGGCCAATATGGTGAAACTCTGTCTCTACTAAAAATGCAAAAACAACTAGCTGGGCATGGTGGTGTGCACCTGTAGTCCCAGCTGCTCCAGAGGCTGAGGCAGGAGGATTGCTTGAACCCAGGAAGTGGAGGTTGCAGTGAGCCGAGGTGGCACCACTGCACTCCACCCTGGGCGACAGAGCAGAACTCTCTAAAAAAAAAAAAAAAAAAGAAATCCTAAGTGTGCAATATTGGCCATATATTGCTAATTGTTGAAGCTAGATGATGTTATCAGGTTTATTTATGATACTAGTCTCTCCTTTTATATATGTTTGAGATTTTCCATAATAAAAAAATTTTAATTAAAACAAGACCACTGGCATGCATTTAATAGCAAATATGCTTAAAGTTTTATTGTAGATGAAAATCAATTGTCCTAATAATAAGCCAGAGCTTATAATTTGGTGGGGTAAAAGGGTTTACTTTTATCTCTGTATTTGATCTTGTTTTTGAAGATGGAGTCTTGCTCTTGTTGTTCAGGCTGGAATGCAGTGGCGTGATTTCGGCTCACTGCAACCTCTGTCTCCTGGGTTCAAGGAATACTTCTGCCTCAGCCTCCCGAGTAGCTGGGATTACAGGCGCCCAACACTACGCCCAGCTAATTTTTGTATTTTTAGTAGAGATGGAATTTTACCTTGTTGACCATGCTGGTCTCAAATTTCTGACTTCAGTTGATCTAGCCGCCTTGGCCACCCAAAGCGCTGGGATGACAGGCAGGAGCCACCACCCCGATCCATTTGATCTTTTTTTCTAAAAACCACTTTGTTGTTAGGTTACAATATTACCAAGAATAATTGCAATTTTACATGGAAAAAAAGGAAACTTTACATACCCTGAGGTCATAAAGAATATATACCAACATATTCTTCTTCTAAAAATTTTAGTTTTACTTTAGGTTTTTCCAAAAGTTTGGTTTTTGTTTTACATTTACATCTTTGTTCCATTTGGAATTTATTTTTGTAAAGCAGGTTTCCCTGTATCCTAGTTCTGTGTTCTGTTCCAGTGAGCCAGTGAGCAATTGCCATATTTGCAGTATTTAGCCTTCCATCCATGAACATGATATACTGTTAATTTATTCAGGTCTTCTTTTATGTCCTTCAAGGATGTTTTGTAATATTTCCCATAAAACCCTTACATAGTTTTTGTTACTAATTTAAGTATCATATTTTCTAGTTATTAGCAGTATGAATATAAATGCTGTTTCTTTCTCTTCAACTTCTGTCAACCTTACTGAACTGTCTTATTAGTTCTATAATAGTGACCATAATAACAGGAATTCTTCCTTTGGTTCTGACTTTAATGGCAATGCTTCTAAAGTTACATCATTAAATCTACTTGTCATAATTTTTTATTTTGAGATGGAGTCTCATTCTGTCACCCATGCTGGAGTGCAGTGGTGTGATCTCGGCTCACTGCAACCTCTGCTCGAAGGTTCAAGCAGTTCTCCTGCCTCAGCCTCCTGAGTAGATGAGGTTACAGGTGCGTGCCACCACGCCCGGCTGATTTTTGTATTTTTAGTAGAAACAGGGTTTCACCATGTTAGGCTGGGCTGGTCTTGAACTCCTGACCTCAGGTGATCCGCTCATCTCAGCCTCGCAAAATGCTGGGATTACAGGTGTGACCCACTGCTCCTGGCCTATAAATTTCTGATAAGTATGTCTTGTCAGGTTAAGAACATTCACTTCTATTCCTAGATTGCTATGTATTTTTTTTTTAAATCACAAATGAGAGTTGGATTTTATTAAGTATTTTTTTCTTAATCTGTTGATGATCATGTCATTTTTATTTTTAACCTGTATATATGGGGTTATACATTAATAATTTTTTTAAAATATTAAGTTCTTATCAAATCGCACTGCCATGTGTGTACCTATGCAACAATCTTGCGTGTTCTTCACATGTATCCGCAAACCTAAAATGCAATAAAAAGTAATAATAAGTTCTTATTCCCATTGCTCAGGCTGGAGTACAGTGGTGCAGTAACGGCCTTGACCTCCCTGGGCTGGTCCCTCCCACCTCAGCCTCCTGAGTAACTGAGACTATAGGTGTGTGCCACCACACCTGGCTAATTTTTTGTATTTTTAGTAAAGATGGGGTTTCGCCGCCCTGGGCTCAAGTGATCCACCTGCCTTGGCTTTCCAAAGTGCTGGGATTACAGGTATAAGCCACCCTGCCCACCCTAGTAATAAATTTCTAATTTAAAACTATCACTTTCTTCCTGAAATAGTCCAGTGTACTCTCCCAACCTTCAAAATGAACATATTTTTGACTCATAGTTGTTTCATGGGAGATAACATATTTTTTTCATTTTCTTAAAGGTTTTTACTCTGCTGCTTACATGCCATTTATTCTTTCTTTTCTCTTTCTTTATTCCTTTCTTCCCTCCTTCCTTCCTCCTTTCCTTCCTTCCTTCCTTCCTTCCTTCCTTCCTTCCTTTCTTTCTTTCTTTCTTTCTTTCCTTTCTTTCTTTCTTCTTCTTTCTTTCTTTCTTTCTTTCTTTTTCTTTCTTTTTCTTTCTTCTTTCTTCTTTTGACTGCGTCTTGCCCTGTCGGCCAGGCTGGAGTGCAGTTTTGCAATCTCGACTCACTGCAATATCTGCCTCCCACGTTCAAGGGATTCTCCTGCCTCAGCCTCTTGAGTACCTGGGACTACAGGTGCATGCCACCACACCCGACTAATTTTTGTATTTTTATTAGAGACAGAGTTTCGTCATGTTGACCAGGCTGGTCTCCACCTCCTAATCTCAGCTGATCCACCTGCCTCAGCCTCCCAAAGTGCTGAGATTACAGGCGTGACATGGGATTATTATTTGAACAACAAGTGTGTGTGATACTATTCATTGTGCTAGGGGAATACAGAAGGAGAAACTTCCCGTCAAACCTCAGTATACTGTATTTAAAGGACAACCTTACCTTTTGGGAGAGCTGCGGGATTGATTTTAGAAGTAGGTGGGGTCACATTAGAATAGATCAGTCTCCTTGGACCTTATATTATCAGGTAGAACAATTCGAGGTCTTAGGGAATCACATGACAAAATTAGGGGTGTAGAGGACTAATCTGGCAGCAGAGCTTAGGAGAAGAGAATCAGTAACAGAAGAGGTGAGTTACAGAGTAGCTGTAATCTGAGTTTGCAGCGATGAGAATCTAGTTCAGACTAACAGCAGCAGTAATGGAAAGTGAGAGTAGCATTGCAATATGGCTCAGTATTTGTGTAAATATAAAGAAGGTGAAGAAGGGAAGGGTTGAATGTCTTTCTAGGGGCTAAACAGCTAGGAAGGTTGAGCTCCTGTTGATTAAGAAAGATTAGAAAGGAAGCCTTTGGGGACGTCACATGTTTGAGGAGCTGTTGACTACCTCTGTACAGCATCCAGGATATTATCATATGCAGCTCAGTGAACGTTTTTTGGTGATGTCAGTGCTAGTGAAAATCACAGCTCTTGAAGAGAGAGAATCTCTCTCTCTCTCTCTCTCTTTTTTTTTTTTTTTGGAGATGGAGTCTCGCTCTGTGAGCCAGGCTGAAATGCAGTGGTGCATTCTCTGTTCACTGCAACCTCCGCCTCCTGGGTTCAAGTGATTCTCCTGCCTTAGCCTCCTGAGTAGCTGGGATTACAGGTGCCCGCCACCATGGCCGGCTAATTTTTTTTTTTATTTTTAGTAGAGATGGTTTCACCGTGTTGGTCAGGGTTGTCTCAATCTCCTGACCTCAGATGATCTACCTACCAGCCTCAGCCTCGCAAAGTGCCAGGCCTCAGGTTTACAATAGTGGGTATACAATGGTTGGAGAGGCTGCTAGAATAACAAATAGGCAGGTTAGTGGCATACAGTATAAAGCATAAGGCAGTTAGAGTGGTGTCTAGGTTAGTATTGTTGAAATCAGAATCCGGTGGTTTTTAATCTAACTGGAGCAGTGCTGTCCAGTAGAACTGTCTGCAGTGGTAAAAATGTTCCACCTTACACTGTTTAGTATGGTAACTGCTGGTCGCATGCAGCTGTTGGGCACTGCTGGTGTACCTGAAGAAATTAGTTTTTTAAATTGTGGTAAAATATATACAACACGAGATTTGCCATTTCGTGCCCTCCTTGCGCTTGGTTGCCGCCTCCCAATGCCAGCTGCTGGGGGACTGGGAGCGCTCCCGCCTTGGGTTCTTGTCTGGGCACAGTGGCGCGCAGATGTGCCTGGCACCCATGCTCACTTCCTGGAGGAGAGAGCTAAGCCTGTCTACTGGATACCTGCAGTTGGAGCACAAAAGGAGAGATTTCATCTCTTCTGGGAGTAGGAGGCTCTATTTTGACACTCATACCTTAGTGTGCTTACTGGAAGACAGTGGATTTGCTACTAGACAAGCAGAAATCATTGTGTCTGCATTGGTCAAGATCCTGGAGGTCAAAATGGACATCGTCTACAAAGATATGGTCACCAAGATGCAGCAGGAGATGACTCTTCAGCAGATAATGTCTCAGATTGCGAATGTGAAGAAGGACATGACTGTTTTGGAGAAGAGTGAATTTTCATCCCTTAGAACAGAAAATGAGAAAATAAAACTTGAACTACACCAGCTAAAACAACAAGTAATGGATGAAGTGATCAGAGCCCGGACAGATACCAAATTAGACTTCAACATAGAAAAAAGCAGAGTAAAAGAATTGCATTCACTGAATGAAAGGAAGCTGCTGGAATTGAGAACAGAAATAGTGGCATTGCATGCCCAGCAAGATTGGGCCCTCACCCAGACAGATAGGAAGATAGAAACTGAGGTTGCTGGCCTCAAAACCATGCTTGAGGCACACAAGCTTGATAATATTAAGTATTTAGCAGGGCCTATATTTACGTGCCTAACAGTAGCTCTGGATTTTATTGCCTGTGGATCTAATAAAGTGTGTATTTAAA